ACCATCTCCTTTGTGTCTGTGTCTTCATATAGCCTTCATCCGCCTCTGTGTCTTCGTATAGCCATCTCGTTATAAGGACGCCAATCATATTGGATTGGGACCCAACCTACTCTTTAGCCTCATAACAAAATTCCATCTGCAATGACCCTATTTCCAAATAAGGCCACATTCTAAGGAACTGGGAGTCAAGACTTCAACGTGTCATTTGGGGGGTGGGGGGCCACAGGGCACACAATTCAGCCTAACAACCCTAGTTGAATTTTTGCTCCCACTTTTCAGGTGGAGAACTGCACCTCCAAGAGCTTGAGTAATATTTGAGGCTATTGCAGCATCATGTGTGAGATTTGAACCCAGATCTGGTTGACTCCGGTACAGCGTGAGGCCTCCTGTTTGTGAATCTGTTCACAAATTATAAATCAGAGGCATACAAATTAGTTCATGTTTAGCTACCCTTTTAACAAATCACCTTCATCGAAGAGAGCAAAATTTCAGGAAAAGATTAATTGAAGCAAAAGAAAAAAGTAAAGGGGAAAAAAAACTACCACCAGGAGAGTTCTTTTCAGATGCTGGTTTCTGTACTGGAGATAAATAGCCCAACTGGGGTGACTTTGCCATTTCAGCCGTCTTCAGACCGCTGTGGAGATGAGCTGATAGATTGTGTGAACTCGGCCATTAATCCACCCTCAAGTGGCCTGTGATTTTGTCCCTGTTTTACATATCTGACCTCCTGTCTCTGAGAGATTCTGCTACCACAGCAGGATTTGAAGGTGGAGCCCTGAGGAATGGCTGAAGAGGACTTTAGCGGGCTGGCAGTAACCATGCTAATGAGCTCAGCAGGGTGATACAACTCTGAGGACAGGAACCATGGTTGTGTTGGTCGCAGCCTGCACCAAAGGTCTGTGGGAAAGGGGTCACCAGATCTTTCCCAGGACAGGAGGGACACTGGCTCAATATTGATATACTGATCCATGGAGCTCAGCCCATTAATCAGGCCATGATGCATAACATGCCTGCGTTTTCCAAAAGCATTAATAAAGGACTATGTATCTTCCTCTCCCTCCTGTTGACAGATAAGGAAACAGAGGGTCATTCATTCATTCAACAAGTCTTTGAGCACCTGTTGTGTGGGACATCTCAGCCTGATGCCTGGTCTGGTACGAGGGTGAGGAAGGGGATAGAACACCATTTAAAAGCCCAGGCTTATAAAAAAGAATAAGATCATGTTTCTTGCAGGAACATGGATGGATCTGAAGGCCATTATTCTTAGCAAACTAATACAGGAACAGAAAACCAAATACCGCATGTTTCCACTTTTAAGTGGGAGCTAAATGATGAGAACACATGGACACAAAGAGGGGAACAACAGACACTGGAGACTACTTGAAGGTGCAGGGCGGGAGGAGGGAGAAGAGGAGAAAATATAACTATTGGGTACTACGCTTAATACCTGGGTAACAAAGTAATTTGTACAACAAACCTCGTGACACGAGTTTACCTATATAACAAACCTGCACATGTACCCTGCACTTAAAATAAAGCTTAAAAATAAATAACTAAAAGCCCAGGCTTTCGGGAAGATAGACCTATGGTAAAAACCCCAGATCTTCTCCCAAGAAACCACCCCACTTCCCAGCTCCATCCTCCTCCTGGGCAGGTCTCTCTGGGGAGACACCTCCTCCCAAGACATCTCCTCCCAATCGTGGACTCAGTGTGGCATATAGGAAGGGGCAACTTTGAATAGATAGACCTGGGCATGGATTTGGTCTGAGACCCTCACTGTGGGGTGGACTCGGGCAAGTTGCTAAGCTTGAGTATCAGTGTAGTAGTTACTGTTCCCCCGCATCCTGGTGCCAAGGGACAAAAATCCACCTTGAACCAGCTTAAGCTAAAGACGAAAATGCATTGTGTCATGTCATCAAACTACAGCAGTGGCTCTGCTGGACTGGATTTTTTAAATGAATAATTGGTGGCCTTCTTCCTGTCACTCTCATCTCTGCTCTTCTATGCCTTGGCTTGTTTGTTCTCCTACACAGACTGGCCTTGGTGCCAGGGATTGGGCTGGTGGTAGCTCTGGGGTTATAGCACCTGGGAGAGGCAGATTTCTTTCTCCCAGCTTTACTCTTATCAGAATGCAACAAATGGGTCATGTGTCCTTCCTTGAAGCAATCACTGGCTGCTGGGATGGGCAATATGTTTGACCCTGCCAAGGTCATCACGTCTCCTGTGGTCAGGGAAAGTAAGGTCTGCTGATGGAAAAACCTATCTAGAGCAGATGCTTTGAAGGCACAAACAGTCCACTACAGTCCACCCCTTCACTCCATGGTGGACATGCAATGGACATACCCACATACATCTTTACTCCCATTAATTTGCTTACAAAAATCTTATCTAACATGACCACTGTTCCATAGGTAGCCAAATGTGCCTATCCTCACCTTAAGGTGAAGTCACCCAAAGTCCTATGACATCCAACTTCAAGCCCAGCATTTCTGCAGCATGAGCATTCCTCCCCTTCAGGTGTTGGGGTGGCCAAAGAGAAATGAAACTTCCTCAAGTGTAAGATGGTTGGAGGACAGACCTGGGCTTTAATTTTAAGTCAAATGCTACAAGCTGTAGGTACGTGGGCAGATGACATAGGTTCCCATTGCATTTTGAAAAGAGGAAAAGCAGATGTAACATGAATAGTTACCAGTCAGAACACACACCATATGCCCAAACTAAGACGTGCTTCTAAGGTAAACAGATAGAAGAGTCACTATGATCAGTTCCCTCATCTCTAAAATGGGTTCATAAGAAGTTTGTGAAGATTGAATTTTTAAAACATGAGACATGGCCCACAGTAAATTAGATAGCACGTAGTAGGTGTTCAATACATGAGTTTTGTCTCCTCTGTTTCTGTCTTTGTCTCTCTCTGTCATACACACACACACCACACACACACACACACACACACACACACACACACACACACAATCTGCTGATCTGATGACAAAGACCTCAGGCCACCAAAATAAACCAAACTTTACCCCCTCTCTTCCCTTCCTTCTCTTCCCTCCCTACTCCATCATCCCTCCTTCCTTCCTTTTCTTCCTTCTCGTTCTCCCTCCAGCACCCTCTATTTTTCCCTCCCGCCTATCCTACAGTGCATCTTTAGACACTCAGTCCTCTAGGGAATGGCTGAATTGAAGTTAGTGTGCAGCCCTTGACCACATGGCCACAGAGTGCTCTCTCCCAGCTCAGGTATGAACAGCATTCGTGCTCCAAGTCAAGGGCTGTGACTCCATCTGTGGTGGGAGGGGCACGCGCTGTTGAACAAGCACAGAGACAAGACCTGGGCTTCTCCAGGGCTGTCACTGTCTGGTGTGCCTGCTCCAGGGAGGTGATGTTTCTTTTAAAGATGGACTCTTCTTAGTCGAGCAAATCACCTCTGTCTTATGAAGGAAATTCAAGGTGATCAGGTCAAGACACATCTCCAGCGGGGCTGAAAAAATAGTGCACTTAGCAGAGCTGTGTCCAGGGGAGTGATTGCTCAGTAATGAGCCTGCATTCTCTGCTAGATCCTGCTCTCCACCACAAGGAAGCGGGGAAAGAAGTTCACAGTTTAAACTAGACAGTGGTCTAGCCAAGGAAGCGATTCAGTGGCATTTAGTATTTTCTTCAATCATTCCATATAAGGGACATTTAATTCCAAGTGCTGGCTGGATCTTCGGTCTAACCTCCAGTTACTGATTTGGGGGTCTCGCAGACCTGGATTTAAACCTTTATTCTGTGCACAATTAGCTGTGGGTCATAGGGAGGCCACTTCACCTTTCTGGGTCACTGTTAAATCATCTAAGATAAGAGCATGACAATGTCAATGTTCTCCACTTCACATGGGGGCATTACAAAGATCCCCCCACTCAAAAAGCAAGCAGTTCGGAACACAGGCTCTGAAGCCAGATTGCTTTGCTTCAATTCTGAATCCACATGTATGAGCTGTGTTACTCTGAGCAAGTGACTTCTCCGGGCCCTTTTCTCTTCTGTATAAAATGGTAATAATATTCTCATAGGATCACTGTAAGGATGCAAGGAGACAATGTATGTAAAGCACTTACCAAAGTGAATGTCCAAATAAATGTCCATATGTTTTAAAACATATGGGAAAAGACATTATAAACTGTGAAGTGCTATTTTCATGTATGGGGGTTACTATTTACCATAAAGTACAGGGAAAATGTTTACTACTTGAAGAAAACTAAGTTATGATATATAATTGGATGGCTATTTCACTTTATTTAAAATTTTCCTTTGAATGGAAACATTCACTTTGACCCACAATAGAGACAAACTGTAAAGTACTTTCCACAGCACTGTGAATGGCCAGTTTCTTATTCTACTCACCTTAGTTTGATGCCTATCATATGCAAGACACTATGGTAGAAACTTTTACATAAATCATTCTATTTTAACCTCATTGGATTGTTATTTTTGTTCCTGATTCAAATAAAGCTAGGTCTCTGAAAGGTTAACTGACTTAAACTTACTAGGCTTATGCTAGGACGTAAACAAAGTGAAATGAGGACCTAGACCTTGAGATAGCTAAGTCCAGGGCACTTTCCAAGGAAAACTAAATGTCTTAAGGCAGCTTGTAGACACAGTAACATGTTATCAAATGTTAAGCCTCTTAGAGCTGTCTTAATGCAAGAAATAGGAAGCTGTGTTTGGTGCTTAGGGAGTGGCCTTGGCTTAGGTTCCTGGATGCCCAGCTGTCACTAGGTGACCTCAACGGCTTGGCTGCAGCCCACAGAAGGCTTCCCTCCTATCTGTTGGTCTCCACTGCCCTGATTAGACCAGGTTCTGCCAAGACAAATGACTTTCACTCTCTCATTTCTGCCCAAAGGAAGGACTTGACATTAAAAGGTCAACAAGGTCACATAACCAGAGACACACTGGTGAGGCTTCCCCCTGTAACCCTTGCAGCTTTGTCCCCAGCCACCTCTGACTTTTTCCTTTCCCCAAAGCCAAGTACATCGGCTGCTACCTGGATGACACCCAGAGTCGGGCCCTTCGAGGAGTGTCCTTTTTTGACTACAAAAAGATGACCATCTTCCGTTGCCAGGACAACTGTGCTGAACGGTAGGGCCCCAGCATCCAAGACTTGTCCATTTCAGGCCCTTCCTTCTAAGATTCCTGCCTGTGGCATTCTTTGCCCTGCTATGGGAGGGTGTGTTGAAGGGTGAGCACGTGACCACAGGAAAGGTTGATGCAAAGGTGTGTGTGCATTGTGTGTATGTGCATGAGCACATCCACACAACTGTGGACTCTTCAAGAGTTGGTCTATGGGAGTTTGTGGTTGTGCCACTGTGTCACACTGTGTCTAGGAACAATTTTGTAGCAAACAGAGTACAGGGTCAGCTAGCTGTGTTTCTGAGCCTAATGCCAATATGCAATGATCTTTAAATAATAGTGACCGTGTATGCAGGAGTCTTTGTGAATATGTGTGCAAGGGCCCAGGATTGTGCTTGTGTGTGTAGGTGTCTGATTGCATTTGTTGAATGTGCAACACTGTGTTGAGAGCATGCAAGGTTGTGAAGAATTGCACACAACTTAGAAATGCACCATTAGGTGTGCACGTGCATGCAGATGAGGGCTGTGAACATAAAGCTTGCAAGATGTCCACACGAAGGGTAAGGTGAAGGTATCTAATAGTTTCTCAATATATAAACTCCTTACCTGTTCAGACAGTGTTTCCAATCTAAGAAGACAACGATGGTTTTTATTAGACATGCACTGGGAGTAGGGTGGAGAGAGTTGACGTTTTGAGAGTGGACAAGTCCCCAGAGACCTGGTGAACAGGGACAGGACCCCTGGGGGTACCATGGGGCTGAGCTGAGCTTCTCTCCTTGTTTCTTGGGCCCCCTGACCTTGTAGTGGCTCATGAAGAAGCTCTAATATGCTCACCTCCAGGCTCCAGCTGGCTGCCTCTGACAGTCACAAGCTCTGCCAACCTCAGCTGCATACCTGGTGTGGAAATGGGCAAGTGGGTGACCACTGAGAGACTCTTCCTGCTGTTCTTTATTTTTCATTTTTTATTTTTTTGAGACGGTGTCTTGCTCTGTTACCCAGGCTGGAGTGCAGTGGCGTAATCTTGGCTCACTGCAACCTCTGCCTCCCAGGTTCAAGCGATTCTCCTGCCTCAGCCTCCTGAGTAGCTGGGACTACAGGCACATGCCACCATGCCTGGCTAATTTTTTTTTTTTTTTTTTTTTTTTTTAGTATTTTTAGTAGAGATGGGGTTTCACCATTTTGGTCAGGATGGTCTCGATCTCCTGACCTCGTGATCCGCCCACCTCGGCCTCCCAAAGTGCTGGGATTACAGGTGTGAGCCACCACACCCGGCCCCTGCTGTTTTTGATTAGGAAACACTGCCCTCTTTGTAATCAGCTGCCTAGGGAGCCCATTATTAAAATCCTGAGCCCAGGACCCTCTCCAACTTGAAAAGGATTCCAAGTCCTTGATAACATGAAGTCACTAACTTATCTGTCAAACTTGTGTGCAGGGGGGCGGGGGAAACAGAGGTGAAGTCCATACAGCCCCTGGCCTTAAAGAGCCTGCAAGGGGAGACAAACATGTAAACAGAGAGGGATAACATAGTCAGATAAGGGTTGAGATGGAATAATCGCAGACAGTTAGACAAGCAGACAAGGTCTAAGCTGCCTGGGGTGAAAGGAAATACTTCTCAGAGAAGGTGACAGCCAAGATGAGTCAGAGCTACTCATGTAATTCAATTTGGTTCAGCAAATATTTGTTGACTGCCCATGGGTGCTGGACCTGATTCCGGGTGCTGGACCTGATTCCAGGTGCTGGAGATGAAGAGATGAGCCATCCACAGCCCTGTCCTCAGCGGGGCTTCCCATCTGGTTGGGGAGATAGAGGCATGAACAATAGGCTTGGGCCACAGAATAACAACAGCTTACAATAGTTAAAAAGCACTTGTTCTGTGCCAGGCACTGTCTGAGCATTTTGCAAATATTAACTCTTTAACTTCACAAGACCCCCGTGAGGCAGGAATGTTATGAACCACATTCCACAGATGAGGAAACCAGGGTACAGAGACATCAAGTATAATGGGTGCTGGGGTGGATGTGCTTTGCAAGGTGCAGGAAAGTCAAGAAGATGGAAGGGATGGAAGGCTCCATGTGGAGGGTTTAGGAAGCATTATCGTGGTGAGACCATAAGCTGGGTTTTGAAGGATGAGTAGGAGTTTTCTAGGTAGGGCAGAAATAACAGCATACTCAAAGGACAGGACTCCTGAAATACACTGAAACACTCAGGGTGCTCAGGTAGGCAGCATGGGAGTGCACAGAAGGTACAAAGGGAGTGTCAGGAGAGGAAGCCACAGAGGTGCCCAAAGCCCAGTGAAATGGGGCCTTGAAAGCCAACTAAAGCATCCAGATTTGACCAGGAGGGTAATGGGGAGCCACTGCAGGGTGTCTATCAGAGAAGTGGTCTACATTCATTCCATGAATGTGTATTAATCATCTCTCATATGCCAGGCATTGTCCTGGGATAGGTGGGCAAGACCCACAGGGTCACTGCCCTCCTGGATATTATATTCTAGAGAACAAGACAGGCAATTTACAAACTACATTAAAAATCACTAAGATCATTTCAAAAGTGATGACAACCATAAGAAAACAAAACGGAGCAATGGGATAGTGCCCAGCATGAGGAGTAACATTCAGTGTGGTAGTCAGTGAAGGACTCTCTAGGAAGGTGACTGAGCCCAGACCTGGAAGGTAAAAAGAAACCATGCAAACAGCAGAGTAAGAGTGTTCCAGGCAGAAAAACGGCAAGGACAAAAGACTTGAGGCAGGACGGAACTCAGTGTGTTTAAAGATCAGAGAGCCCGTGACTGCAGCAGAACTGGCCAAGGGAAGGATGGTGGGCATCTTATAGTCTGTTTGGGATGCTAGAACAAAATACCTCAGACTGGGTAATTTCTATGAACAGAAATGTATTGCTTACAGTCCTGGAGGCTGGGAAGTCCAATATCAAGGTGCCAATAGATTTGGTATCTGGTAAGTGCCCACTCTCTGCTTCAAAGATGGTGCCTTGTTGCTGTGTCCTCCCATAGCAGAAGAGCAAAAGTGCTCCATCAAGCCTCTTTTATGGGTTTCCCTGAACCTCAGTTTTTCTCCATCTTGACTTTGTCCTTCCTACTCCCGGAGCCACAGCAAGCAACGCTCTTTTCATTTGTTTACAGAGTGGGGTAGCCACTAAGAGTCCTTTCTAGGAAAGGATTCCATCACTATGAAAAGTTTCAAAAGAACTTGAAAACCTTGCAGTGCCTGGATTTTTATTTTTAGGAATTTTTCCTTGGTGAATGTGTGAGCTCATTTTTGTCCTCTCCCAGAGGGATGCGAGAGTCCCTGCCTCCCTCATGAGCTCCCTGTGCCTCCTCCCTTCACCCTAGCTCCTCTCAAGGGACAAGGAGGCACCGTTCCTGGGTGATGTTTCCAAGAATAAAGGAGCTGGACTCTGGAGAGATGAACGTATCGGGTTTCCAGAAAGGGAAGAGCAAGAGAGAGAGTGGGGTAGGGGAGACCACAGGATCTGGGGTGTGTGTGTGTTGACAGGTGTACCATGTGCAGGTGTGTACAGGTGAGTGTGAATATGGACATGGTGTGTCTATGTGGGTAGGTGTGGAAGGGTGAAGACGAAGGCAGGTGGATGGTCCCTGGGTGTTCCTGTCCCCTCCTTGGGTCTCTCTGTCCTCTAGGGGCCTCCCTGTATTCCTTCTTGGCTTTCCTGCCTCCACACTGCCCCCTGCAAGGCTAACTCTGTAGCCTCCCTGACTCCTCTTGGGGTCTCGTTATCCCAGACCCAGATCCTCCTGCCCCATGGAGCATGCCTGTCTCACAGATCTCCTGGAGTCTCCCTGCCCACCTCGGGGTCTCCCCTGCCCTCTTTCCAGGGTCTTTCTGTGTGCTACCTTCCTAATCTCATTTCTTTGGAGTCCCCCTGTCTCCCGAATGCCCCCCATCTCCCAGGTCTCCACAATGGATGGGTCTCCTGTCCCCCTGAGGTCTCTCCTGTCCTCTGGGGTCTCTCAGTTGCCCCAACCTCCCATCAGCAGTCTCCCCATTTCCCCTGGGATCTCCTGGTCCCCAGAGCCCTCCCATCCCCCAGGTCTCCACGTTGAGTCTCCCTGCCTTGGGGTCTCCATGGTGGCAGCTACCCTGCTTGACAGCAGCCTCCCCCAGGGGTTACCTGTATGCCGGGCTGGAGTTCGGCGCCGAGTGCTACTGCGGCCACAAGATCCAGGCGACGAACGTGAGCGAGGCAGAGTGCGACATGGAGTGCAAGGGCGAGCGAGGCAGCGTGTGCGGCGGCGCCAACCGCCTCTCTGTCTACCGGCTGCAGCTGGCCCAGGAGTCGGCCCGCAGGTGTACGTGAGTCTGCCCTGCCCCTCTCTGCTACTCCTTCCTTGGCTGCAGCCCTTGCCCACCAGAGTAAAGAGTCCCACATGTCTGCCCTGTACCCTCCCTGGCTCCCCATCACTCCAAGGCCACCACCGTCCTGCCCCAGCCTCGCCTCTCCCAGTCCCTCACAGAGCCCTTTGCCCCAGCTCCTTTGAATGGTCCTGCATGCGCTTCTCTCTCCCTCCCACTCTGAGCTGCCTCTGGTTCCAGCTGCATCCCTCATTCTCACCAGTCTTCCTCCCTCTGAAACTGAGTTGGAACCTGAGCCTTGCCTTCCCATCCTGATTTTCTCAGAGCAGATTGTCTCTAATGATGATGATGGTGGTAATGACAATAGCAAACACTTTGTCCTTTTCTCCATGCCTCATGTAGAATAGCACATCTAATCTTCACAATTACCATTGACATAGGTACTATTATTTACTTATTCCCATTTTACAGATGAGGAAACTGAGTCTCAATGTCACAAAGCTTGTAAGCAGCAGAGAATTTAAACCCACTCTGGAGCCCTTGATGCTTTCAAAGAGAGAATCCATCCTGGGTTGTTCAAGCTTCTGGTTTGAGTCTTGTTGGAAAATCTCTCCGATTTCCAAACCAACAGGAGGGAGTGAATAAGAGGACAGGAGCTGGCTCCTTGTCTGAGGGCACTGTCCCATCATTGTCCCCTCCTGGGGACTGGGGAGGAATGTTTAATAGCAGCTAATAACTAGTTATCAATAATCTGCTGTATGTCAGGCACTGTCCTAAGCCAATTACAGGCCTGATTTCATTTACCTTCCCTACAGCCTTTTCAGGTAATTACTGTTGTTTATTATCCCCAACCAGTCCAAGGTCACATAGCATAATTCCAGATGACCTTAAGACTTATGAGAAGAGTTAATGTGCTTGATAAAAGATGGGGGGGGTGCTGACCTTTCTGGGGGTTACCCCTCCCACGCAGTCCAAAGACAGAAGCAGAAATCCACAGCTGCTTCTCTAGCCCTCTGGCCAGTGCTTCCGAGATTTGCATGTGTCTGAGAGTTCCCCTGGGAGATCTTTTTAAAATGCAGATTCCAATTCAGCAGGTCCAGCAAGATGCTGCATTTCTAAAGAGCTCCCAGGTGATGCCAGGATGCTGGTCCACAAACCACATTTTGAGCCTCTGTGGATCTCGTCCAGAATGTAGCCCTGCCCCCGCGGTGGCTTTAGCAGAAAGTTAACAGCTAGTCTGTTTGCAGAGAAGGGCCTCTTCCATGTGAATTTCATTGTTTATAGAAACTCATTGTTTGTTTGCTTGAAAATGTGTTCAGTGTTTCAAATCCCAAATATATATGTACATATATATTTTGTTTGTTTGTTTGTTTGTTTTTGAGACGGAGTCTCACACTGTCACCCAGGCTGGAGTGCAGTGGTGTGATCTTGGCTCACTGCAGCCCCTGCATCCCAGGTTCAAGCAATTCTCCTGCCTCAGCCTCCCAGGTAGCTGGGATTACAGTTTCCCACCACCACACCTGGCTAATTTTTTTTCTTTTTTTTTTTTGTATTTTTAGTAGAGACAGGGTTTCACTATGTTGGCCAGGCTGGTCTCGAACTCCTGACTTCGCGATCCACCCATCTCAAGCTCCCAAAGTGCTGGAATTACAGGCATAAGCCACCATGCTCAGCCTCAAATCCCTTATTTTTGAAGCTCCATTCAAGCTTTGCTGTGCAATAGGGTCGAGTATGCGGTCAATTTGCAAACTGGCTGTTTTTTCCAAATGAACTACAACTTCCACCTCCCCATAGTCATCTCAGTTCAGGTATGAAGGCCTAGGAGGGCAGAGGGCAGAGGACCGAGGTAGCACATGAAATCCAGGCCAGAGAATGTTCATAGAGTGGCTTTCTGGTTTGGCTGCTAATATTACGAGTTTTTAACTTAGTGGCAGATTTATCACCTTTACAGCTGATCGCCTTTATGTCAATATTTATGTTATTTTGATAGCAACATTTGGACCATCTGAAGAGATGACCTTAAAGTCAGGGATATTTAGAGGGAAAGCTGCTGCCAGTAACACATCCTAGTGGATGAAGCTGAGATAGATAACAAGAACTGGATTGTGTATGTCATTAGGCAGACACTAGCCAGACCTCCTTTTGGTTAATGTTCAGGTTGGCTGAATAACCTGGACACACTCTCAATATCTCTTTCTCTCTTTCTCTCTCCCCTCTCTCCTTCTCCCCACCTCTCTCTTCCTCTTTCTCTCCCTCACCTTCCTCCCTCTCTCTTCCTTCCTCTCTCTACCCCCGTTTCTTTCTTTCTCTCTCTCTCTCTCTCACACACACACACACACACATTCAGATACACACACACACACATACTGCTGTGATCACCTTGTATTATATAATAACACTTTCACTGACCATGGGTCAGCTGGGGGGCTGCTGGCAGGAATGCTTCTGCACCCCTCACTTGCCCCTTCTGTGTGGCACAATTATTTGGGTGGTGCTTTGTACCATCTGAGAATAGCATTTTTGTATTATGTCCAAGAGGAAGAAACACACTTATTTCTACTGAGAGTGGAGTCCTGGATTCTCTAAAGTTCATCACTGTTGTTCTGAATCATCACCATATAAGGTTTGAAGCTTGAGCACCTTCAGCTGGAGACCCTAAAAGAAAATCTAAGCCTTATTAATCCCGAGGCTACCAAGACTGAGACTTAGAAGGAAGGCAGCTTGGACAAGGAGAGAGATGGTTGACAATGTTTCAAATCCAGTTGGCAACATGGTATACAAAGAGAGTGCAGGAACCATTCATTGAACCAAAACACTTGATGAGCTCTTCTGTGGATGAGATATGGAGAAGCTCAGTGGTCAGTAAAGCACAATGCCTGACCTCAAGGAGCTTTCCATCTCATGGGGCAACAGACCTGATACTAATGAAATTGGTTCAACCATAAATTAGAAGGATAATTTTGTGCAGACCCAATACAAGTAGGATTGGTTGAACCAGAGACCCAGGGGGCTGCAGGGGCTCTGTCTTCAAGAGCCAAGGGAGCAATTTTTGAGCCGAATCGCATTCCAAGAGGATTCCAGGTGAAGGGGACAGCCATGGGTTCTAATTCATGATCAAAAGTCCAGAGTCAGCAAAGGTCATGTGTTGAATGCTATGTTGGAAGCACCTTTCTCACTGATGTCTGCATTTTACATTGGAGAAACTGTGGCTCAGAGAATAGAAATGGCTAAATTGAACAGCACTGGGGGAGGCTCCATAAAGGAGAGGGCAGCTCGATAAAGGAGGGGACATTTGATGAGAGGCTTGAAAGGTTGTTTCCTGGCGGAGAAGAGGAGGATACCCAGACTCAAGACAAATCACCAAGCAGTGGGAGAGGAATTAGGCAAATAAAAGAGAGCACAAAAGCCTGGTGCCTATTGCAGGAAATGACTGGCAGGCATGGGTTTTCTAAGGCTACTGTGCCTCTTAGGGACTGAGCATAAGCTGGAACCCAGGTCCATGAATCCCAGTTAGGGTACCCACTTGCCACAGTGTTGCAGACACCTTGACCCTGGAATTTGGTTCAGAACACCACCTTCTCTCTTTTGGGGGAACTCCTTGGCTCCAGCTCATCTCCTCCCTTCCCTGACCCCTGATCCCTCCTTTCACCTTGTTTCCAGACTCTAGGCAATGTGAAATCTGCAATGTCTTTGCTCTGACTCAGTGGCATCTTCGATTTCCTAGGATTATGCCTAGGATTTGCTTTGTACACAAATAAGTCAGAAAGGGATGCCTTCCAAGTCACTGGCACACAACTCTGGCATGTATTACATCAGGCAAGAGAAATGAGTGAGTGCTCCAGCAAACAGCTATGGCAGAAACCAGATTTCATTTGTAGAGTCATTAGTTGGTATTAACACTGTGTCCTAATTGTGTTTTCCTAAGCAGTGGCACAGAACTCTTAATGACTGCAGAGATCTAAAGGAAGCTTATTATCTCCCAAACACCATTCTGGTGGGGCATCTGCCTCGCACAGGATGCCAGCCTAGGTGTTTCTGAGGTGAGGTGATGGAATGCTCCCATAATAGTGAGAGCATTAAAAGGTTAGCAGAGCAAATGTCTGCAGGCACCCTGCTATTCTGCCTTGACACTGACTCTCGGGCACGTGGACTCTTTGCCCTTGTTACAAAAGAACCGAGAAATGGACTTCTTTCTTGGTCAGATTACATTTTTCACAGCAGTTTGCTAAATGTGTCGGCAAGTGTAGCTCTCCTCCCAGGGGTAGAGACCTGCTGGTGATTTGAGAACATTATGGCTTTATGGGATGTTGCAAGAAATTTCATTTGCCTGAAAGAGTCTTGCAAGATTTGGGTTGCAAAGTTCATCAGAACGGGGCTCCTGAGTCCCAAGGGTGGCTGTCCATGGTGCTGACCACCCTTTAGCACTGCCTAAAACCCCAATGATGGCAAACCAGCCTCTCCCAGGGATCTGCACTTTTTTCCTTTTGTTTTTTCCTTCCTAGTTTAGTGGAGACATTATGAAGCTTACACTATCACTGAAAAAATAGATACCTTATTTATGGTTCACAATTTACATGGTGGATTTTGTGTACTGTTGTTAATTCTGGCAATTTTTTGTCTCCCAGAGTTAGAAGGAGAATTTTGTGCAGTGCTTTGCTTTATGTTCACTGATCCTCCATTCCAACTACTTCTGCTGAGAGGAACCCTCAGATGATTAGGGAACAGTCACATTTGCTGGAATGGACCACGTCTAACTCCTTCTTTGCTAGGCCTGGAGGCTTCTTCTACTTCCCTTTGCTGTAGGTCTGGGAGCCCCGAATTTCATAATTCATATGGGATCCCATGAACTCTTCTCTGTAGGGCCAAGGGAATAAGAGAAAATATTTCTTCTTCTGCATCATGATGGGGGATAATGGTTTGCTCTTCTCCCCTAAGCAAAATCTAGGTCATTGGACAGGAAAATATTGGGAGCAATGCAGGTTTTGGAATCAGGCAT